AAAACCTAAATTGGCAGCTGCTGAAGAGTCACCTGGGTGCTTATGTGATCACAGATGCTTGGGCTCCGTGGCTGAGGCCGGGCATGTACAGTTTTAGGAAGCACTCTGTTGATTCTGCTTTTATCACTTTGGAAGACAATGCACTGGGCATCCCTAAGGCCCCAATCTGTGCTAACAGCTGCAGTTACCTGATTGTACTGCCTTCAGTGGCTCCTCAGAGCTTGGGGTAAAATCCTGCCTTCCTATCCCAACATCCAAGCCCATTGGTGATAGGCCTCCCCCTCCATGGAGCTTTTAGCCCCTTTTTTCCTTGTGGGTTGTGAGGATTCAGAATCATAAAATTCTGAGGCCAGGAGGGACCTCAGAGAACAGGGTCCCAGCTCACCTTCCTTGTTAGTCTGTGTTTTCCTGGAGTGAAGGCAGTGCATTCTCTCCAGCTATGTGTCCCCAGATGCCCCAGATAATCCTAGTCATTTGATTGGCCCCCAAGCTCCATCCCATCAAAACATGGTGGCATAGACCCTGCCAGAGTCAGTATTTAGCTACCTTTTATGGGGAAGCCTTTCTATAGTCTCCCTTTTAGCCCCTTCCATGACCAATGCTACTTGCCCCAGGCCAGGCACTGTGGCTTACTCCTCCTGTAATTCCAGCACTTTGGGAGGCTGAGGTGGGAGGATCACTCAAGCCCAGGAGTTCAAGACCAGCCTGGGAACATGATGAGACCCTATCTCTGCCAAAAAGAAAAATAAAAATGTTAGCTGGGCATGGTAGTGTGTGCCTGGCTGAAGCAGGAGGTTGGCTTGAGTCCAGGGAGGTCGAGGTTGCAGTGAGCCAAGATTGTGCCACCACACTCCAGCCTGGGCTACAGAGTGAGATCCTATCGCAAAAAAAACAAAGCAAAAAGAAGTTCTGCCCCACATCCATTTCCCGTGCTTCATGATGCCACTCAGGCCTGTTTCCTCCTCCCGCTGGCAGTGCCCTCCTGCAGGTGAGCTCTCCTACCTAATTTCCCTAGAGGCTGTGCTCCCATGCTACTTCACAGCAATGCTCTATTTTTGTTCCTATCTCCTGAGTGGGAGGACAGAAGGCTCCTGGGGGAGTGGTGGTGGAGCCTTCTTTGATTCTTATAAGCTGGACTGATGTTCTCCAGCTGCTCGTTCCCTCCCTGATTTTCCCCAGTGGTCTTGTCAGCTGGGTGAAGCACAGAGAGGTTAGACCCTGGCCTGAGGGAACATGCATCAGAGTGGCTTGGAGCACTGTGGAGCTCTGCTTTGCAGTTTGGGGGTGTGTGTGTGCATGTGCATGACACATGTTCACTGATGTGTCTCTGTATGTACAAACATAGGGTCTCCAGAGGAGGAATTATCCCATCAGATAAACAGTGGGTTTCCATCTCAAAGTGCGTCTTTTGCCCAGGCCTGTCTTCATGGTGCTGTTGAAAACGTGTGGAATCAGTCCCTTTCTCAAGGAATTCTCTTCCTCTCTAACCTTCCCAGCCTCTCATGTACCCTGGAAGAGCTCTGAGCTCTCAAGCTGGCATGTAGGTTGTCTCCCAAATTCTCTTCAGAGCTGGGAGCTGAGGTGTCAGGGTTCTCTGAGATGCACATTTTTCCCTGAGTGAACTGTCTGTCGATCTAGCCAGCTGCCCTTGGCTGACCTCTTTAGCCTCTGCACTGCAAAGATTCATGGAACTCAGCATATCTTTAGAGATGTCTAGCTCCATCCTCACGTTGTACTGATGGGGAGACTGAGGAAGGGGCAGTGAGAGGAAGAGACTTATTTAAGGTCACACAGCAAGTTAGAGACAGAGATGGGACTAGAACTTGAGACTCTCAGTCCCCTGACCTGGGCACCTTCTACTGCATAGCATGGTCCTCCTTCCTGTGACCCCTGGGCTCCAGCCACAGTGCTGTCTCCTGACCAGTGGACCTACTTGGGCACCAGCTTGCCTCCTCTTTGAGTCTTTAGTACCCAACAGGCCATGCTGCCCCCTGCTTCTTTATGGAACAAGCCTGGCTGAATTTCTCCTGCCCTCTGGCCATCCCCAGCCTATGGGACAGAGTCAGAGATTCTGCATCGACCCTCTTATTCCCTTCCTTTGGTTCATGGCCACATCTGCCCATGGAGCTGGCCTGGATTTTCAGCTCCCCTGTGGGGTGGGTCTGTCCATCCTCTAGACCGAGGGCTTCTTGAGGTGGGATCAATTCATGTCTCTCAGGATCCTCCTAGCTCTCAGGCCAGGACCTGCATCTTAATGACTATAGAATGATGATGATGATGATGATGGCCAACTTGAGTGTTTATGCCATATAGCATATTGTAAATATTATCTCATTTGATCCTCCTAGAATCCTGTGAGGTGGGGATTAATGTCCTTATCCTGCACATTAGAAGACAGGCTCAGAGAGGTTAAGTGATTTGCCTAAGGCCTCATAGCAGAGCACTTAACCACCATTTGTCTGCTATAGCCTGGCCACACAGAAATGTGATCCCTGCACCAGCAGCCTCAACATCACCCAGCGGCTTAACAGTGCAGATGTTGGCCCCACCCCACACTGACCGAAGTCCACCAAATCTGCAGCTCAGAAAGATCCCCACGTGATGTGTGGGCACACTCCTGTGTGAGGGGCACTGTGCTATATGGCTGAGGATCGCAGACCACCAAGAAGAGAAGACTGGGTCAGCTGTAGCCCTGGCATAGCTCACCTTCTTGGGGAAAGGCTGAGGCCAGCTCTGACTGCATTGTGACAGGCAGGACCTCAGCCCAGGATGGGGAGATAGCTTAGAAAAGGCAGGAGTAAAGGGTCATCGTTGGGTTTGAAGAAAACAAAACAAAACAAAACAAACTTTTTCCTCATTTGGTAAACACAGGAAAATTGCAAAATAAAGGTACACCTAAATCCAAACCACCCACCTATAAACCAAGCCCCAGATGCCCTTGGCATCAGACTGTGTCTGAGGCAGCCCTCGGCAGCCAAGGGAGCAGCTACATGGAAACCTGTGATGCTGAGTAAGAGATTTTGAGGTGCATTCAAAATGGAGCCCTAGTGGCCAGGTGGGGGTGGGAGAAGGACGGCAATTTATGTCTTGTGGTGGGAAGACCCTGAGTTCAGGGAAGAACAGCAAGGGGAGGAGGCAGTGGGTAGGGGTATATTTCCCTCCAGAGACCTGAGCTAAGCACCCAGCCTGGCTCAAGAAGGCTGTGGGAGGTGATTTCAACCCTGAGGGTACAGTGGGGAGGCTAAGATGCCAGCCCCAGGACACAGGCAGGGAGAACTCCTGCTCACTCCAGGGAAAAACACTCCCCACCACTACCACAGAGGCAGCTCCTTCTGGGGTATGGGATGGTGAAGGGGATGGCAGTGGCTCTGCCTCAGAAAATGGTAAAGAGGAGCTAGACAGGTAGTGGATGTGGAGGGGGAGAAATAGGTGCCCTGAAACAGTTATCAAGGTGTGGGGAGGGGAGGCAGGGAAGGCATCCTCGTGTGTGTCACATGTCTGTGTCATGGGCTGGCACACATATGATGTTAAGCCATCCTCCTTTACCTATTACACCTGCTCTTCAGATGACTGCCCTCTCTCCACCTTCATCATTGACCTCCTCCAAAATGTCTTCTTGTCCTGACCTCCCAGTCATGGTAGTGACTTTGCCACATATTTCTGCTGACCACTTAGGACCTGTCTGAGGACCAGGATTGTGTTTCTCCCTGACACATGTTAGAGAACCCCTCACAGCACAGGGCACTGGCCATTGCTTAAAGGTAGATGAATGTTTTTGATTATAAAGGTAATATCTGCCTGTTATGGAGAAGGGGGAAAAGGTAGAAAGGTGGAATGGAGAAACTCAAACAATAATCCCACACTTAGAAATCATAAGTGTTAATGATTTAGTAAATTCTTTTTCTGTTTTATTTTTGGCAGTCTTTTCTTCCTATGGCAACATAGTCTGTCCATCCATCCCTCCATCCATCCATTTGACAAAAAGATAATGTTACTGAGACTCCTCCCCACCCATTGCCCAGCTGTGTGTTCCATCTTAGAAAAGAGAAGATAAATCATTTCTGCCCTTGGGGAGCTCACAGCACTGAGAGCCCTAAGACTCATCCTGTGTCTATCTGGTTGGGCGAATGGAGGGCAACTCTGGGAGAGTAGTGGAGCTGCCTCCTTCATCCCCTCCCCAGGGCTCCTGGGTCTCGATGCTAGGCCTATTTGGGAAAAAGGGAGAACCTTTAAAATCCCTTGCATTGGAGGTGGTATGTGGGGGGTCAAGGGGGAATACCCATAATGAGGAGGCTTATTATGGGTGGTTGGTTCTGCCCCCACCATCTGCACAGCTCAGGCTGGAAACACAGTCACGGCCTTGGTTGCAGTCTTCAGCCACAAGGTCCCCCCATCAGCTCTCTCTCATCGTATCCTGTTAGAGACCCCAGGCCCCCTGTTTCTTTGGGCCCATGTCTGTTCACTTGCTTTCTCCCCCACTTTCAATGCCTCCGCTCTTTCTCTGCCACTTTTCCACCATGATCCCTAGCACCAGGTGGGGCCATCTGCTGAGGGCTGTTGCTGTGGGTCTTGGGGTTTGGATGTGCTAAGTTCTTCCCTGATTGTCAGAGGCTTGTAGAAGCCTGGTGGGAAGGAGTCTGCTTCAGAGGGCTGCCTGTATCATGTGGCTTCTGCTGGGCTCCCTGCCACTCAGCCTTTGGCATGCACTCCCGAGGCACACGTGGCATATACTCATCTATTCACCCATCCCCCATCCACTCATTCATGTTTCCACCCATTCATGTTATTTATCAGAACCTACCACATAAAAGGTATTGTGCCGACTTCAGACAGTCAGTGATGGCAAGTTAGACAGTCACACACACAGTTTCATTATAACATGATACTATACCAGGACAGCGCCTGTGAGGGGCTCCTAACCAGATTTCCAGGATACGGAGGCTTCCTGTGATAGGATACCACAGGATTCCAGGATACCACCTGTGAACCAAGGGGGATAGGTGGGCACAAATTGGGAGAAGTGTTTCAGGCAGAGATGACACTGTACTTCCCCTGAAAGTTGAATTACTAACTCAAAAATAATACAACTCTTTCATTTTCCCCAAAATAATCATGTGGGTTTATGGGCATGCTCATCACTGCTGTCTGTGTGGAAGAGAAGATCGAAGAGGGATTTACTGAACTGAACTGGCCTAGGCAGCCTTTGCTGACATCTCTCAGACTGGACCGCAGCCCAGATCCTTTCACTGAGGTGCATGCACTTAGAACATGAAAACAGTAAGACACATGGCAGTGCTATTACTGCTTTATGTTGCAAGAACATTTTATGATCTTCCTAACTCTGTGTTTTTAATGGAAACATCCCTACTAAGGAAACTGTCAATAAATGCTGCTCAAACCACCCTCACCAGATACTGGAAACCAGTACATCCATTTCTCTGTACCCTTGCCAAGTTGTCTGCAAATGCTTTGTCTATCTTCCTACTGAATGGTTAGACAAACTTGTGATTTTTTTCCCCTTTCTTAACACAAATCCAAAAAGTAAGAAATGGATAAAATGATGTATTTTCAATTTTTATCCCAGTGGATAAAATGACATATTTTCAATATGAGTTCTGTAGCAGTCTCACATGGAAGTCATGAGTAACAGCCTCAATTCCTAAATAGCTGTTACTACTGCTTTTTTGAGCATAAGTAACACAGAATACAGAGAGCAAACAAAGAAGATATGAGGCTGATAAAAAATTTCAAATACTTTTCTAACAACACGAGGCCCATATTTTAGTATTTCATTCCTTTTCTCAAACAATGTGGACATTTATAAATATGAGAATATTTAGATATACAGACCTTAATAAAAAAGTGTTCTTGAAAATTTTACATGGAAAACCAGTTAGCTTTAATTTCTTCACAATTTTTATGGATTTGTCCAGAGCAAGGACAACTCCTGTGGCAGCTATCCGGAAATCAGGCTAACAGAAACCCCAAAATTTAAAAACAGGAATAATATCAGCAAGAAAAAAACTTCAATTCTATGTGACACAGTAAATTCCCAAAGTGAATTTTATTTACAATAGCTAAGAAAAACAAGAGAGACCATCTGAACTTGCAACCCAGTGGTTTGATAAAAGCAATGCAAAACTTTAAAATTGGTGAGCCAAACTAACAAGGATGACTTAAGACTGGGTGCAATGGCTCACGCCTGTAGTCCAACACTTTTTGGGAGACTGAGGTGGATGGATCACCAGAGGTCAGGAGTTCAAGACCAGCCTGGCCAAAATATGGCAAAACCCCATTTCTACTAAAATACAAAAATTAGCTGGGCATGGTAGCGTGCACCTGTAATCCCAGCTACTTGGAAGGCTGAGTCAGGAGAATTGCTTGAGTCCAGGAGATGGAGGTTGTGGTCAGCTGAGATCACAGCACTGTACTTCAGCTTAGATGACAGAGTGAGACTCTGTCTCAAAAAAACAAAACAAAGAAAATAACAACAACAAAAAAGGGTTACTTGAGTACTTTCCTGAGACTGATTTCAGAGGAACATAATTTCACTATAATAATCTATTTGGACCAAAATGGAAAAAAAAAATGCAGTTGCAATGTTTAGGAAATTAAACTTTGGATTTTCAGGGCAGATTCCATCTGCTCATTATTCTGCTTTCTTCTCTATTAAAATAGGACCAATAAACCCTTGCCCTGCCTGACTGCTCAAATGAAAATGGAATGAACAGACTGCTACTCCAGCATGGCTGCAGGGAGCCTCATGTCTGGCTGGTCTCTGATGGCTCTTCACAACCTCATATAGTGCTCAGCACATAGGAGCACTGCTTAAGTACTTGCTTAAATACATCCAAAAAATGCAAATAAATAGAAAATGTCTTCTGTACCATAATCCTTTCACTTCCCCTCCTATACTCCCACACCTACTGAAAAGGATGTAGGAAGATTAAAAGCAAAGGGAAATTTACTTTATATTACAAAAAATGAGTAATTTTCAACTTAAAGTCTCATGTACATAATAACCCACAATCAGGATATATTTCTCAAACCAATCTGTAAAAGAAATTATCCAAAATAGTTACCATTATGCCACTGACAGACTGTATTGCCAAGAAACCAGTTCCCTGTGGAGTGATAGGGCCTTAAAGGAAAAGGAAAAAAAGAAATATAGCAAACCATTAATTTTAGATTCTAGGTTTACATATTGGATACGAACATTTACATCTGGATACAAATTTACCTATATACTCCAAACTACCTTCCCTCTCCCAGAAAGAGAAAAATCTTAGGAGTGGAATTTTATGAAAGGAAAAGCACAGAGCTGTAATGATGCAGACTGTAAGGTTTAATCTTGGCAACAAGCAACTTATTGTAGTCATATTTTACCCCAAAAGGTTGCTCCACAATGCATGTGCTGTGGCATGTACGTTATAAGGCTTTGTCTTCCAATGTGGTCTTCGATATAATGGAGTGAGATGGTCTGAAACCTCCTCCACCCTACAGAAAAAATGATTGGATCTCGGGACTTGAGGATTTTCTTATACCAGCGATGTTTCTTCAGACGCATCTGAGGGGATGAAAGGGTATGATGACTGATGGAGGGGAAATCCAGAGCCTCAGGCACCAAATACACAGCAAAGGGACCTACCTACATGTATCCAACATTGCCCTCACTGTTGCCCAAGCCACTCAGGATAATGGGGAAATGGGGGTCAAAGTTCTGCACAAATTCGCAGGGAACATTTTCAATCTCAACACGGACATACATCCCAGGTCGAAAACCCTCATACTGAACTCTGGCTTCATCAACTTGATGCTCGAATTCTGCACAGTTCAGTTATACATGACAGGAAAAAAAACCCATATGCCATTATCTGTAATAAACATAAGATAACATAAACAAATTAGCAACTTCTAAGTAAAGAACTATGGCTAGAATTATGTAGGCTTTAACCTATTAAAAATACTACACATTTGGCTGGGCACAGTGGCTGACACCTATAATCCCAGCACTTTTGGGAGGCAGAGGTGGGTGGATCACTTGGGGTCAGAAGTTTGAGATCAGACTGGCTAACATAGTGAAACCCTGTCTCTACTAAAAATACAAAAATTAGCTAGGCGTGGTGGTGTGTGTGCCTGTATTCCCAGCTACTCAGGATGCAGAGGTAAGAGAATCGCTTGAACCCGGGAGACAGAAGTTACAGTGAGCTGAGCTCATACCATTGCACCCCAGCCTGGGTGACAAAGCAAGAGTCCATCTAAAAAACAAACAAACAAACAAACACTACACATTTTACCTCTACAGTCTGCTCAGAATGTGTCAACTGTTTTCTTCCCTGCTGCTCCAAGGGACAGCAAATGTAGACAACTCTGTGGAGCCCTGTGTGTCTAAACACTGGAAACATCTCCAGTCTATACCTTCTTTCCTTCTCTATAAGTGATTCTTTCACACTTTTCCCGTCTGCAAACACCCAACACCTCCCTCACCTTCATTTATCTGACGGCTGTTTGTTGATTCATCCAAACCCAAAAGAACCGCCAGTCAACCCTCTACCAGGGTTTCCTCCCATATCGAGCCTTATCAGAGCTCTGACTTAGCCCATAGGAGAGCTGTGTGTGGCTATTTAAATTAAAATTAATTACAATTACATAATATTTAAAATGCAGTTCCTCAGTCACACCAGTCACACGGGAAGTGGTCCTTATCAACCTGTGGTTAGGGTGACAATATTGGGAAGCAGAGATGTTCGTCTCCATGGTAACAGAGAGGTCTATGGGCAGCTCAGGCACAGATGATCTGTCCATGCCTCCACTCAGGGCCACACATCACTTGCTCACTAGTCACCATCCACTCTTCCTGGACTTTATTCCAAAGGCTCTTCTCTGTTATTTCTCTGTTGCAAAACATTTTGATTCGACTTATTCCACCAACAACTGCTCCATTTCTCTGCTTCTCTCTGCAGCAAAACCCCATAAAAGTTTTCTGCGGTAACAGCCTCCAGTTCCTCTGCTCCATTCTCCTACATCCATGAAAAGAGGCATTTGCCAAGATTCCTGAAGGTCTCCCTGTCCCTCCTCCAGTGGCCAATTCTGCCTTGACCACAGTTACCATGGCAGTAGGATCTGAACAATGTGTCACCTCAATGTACAGCTGACCTCCTGCGTGCCTGCATGCTCACACTCCTCCCTTCTGGGCACTTCTCAAGTCTCACTGCCGCAGTAACCCCCTCTCACCCATGCCAGTCCTGCTCCTCCCACTCACTCTGCCCTCACTCCCTGGTTACTTCACAGCTTTATGTGGCATCTACATTCTGAGAGCTTTTCATCTAAGTCCCTAGCCCGTCCTCTCTCTCTAGACCTGACACTCCGCTCATCTGCATGACACCCAGCCGACCCAAACATCATCCTCCCAAAGCTGCATCCATAGAGTGTTTCCTGTCTAATTTACAACAATCCACCCTTCCAGGAACTTCCAGTTGTCAACCTCATTTCCTCTCACAGACCCCACATTCAGTCCACCAGGAAATCCGACTGACCCAGCTTCCAAATAAAGTATATCTGGTTTGACTCTGTCTCATCTCCACTGCCAGCCCTCTGGTTTGTGCCACCCAAATGATCTCTTGGCAGAGTGATCTGATTACCTGAATGTCTCTCCTCTGCTCAAAACCCTCCAAGGACTCCCATTTCAGAGTGAAAAACTCAGTCTTTCACAATGGCCCACAGGCTCTAGGTCATTTTAAATTGTAAATGGTGTGAAGCAAAGACTTCAGAGTTAGCTTATTCATGTCTGTCAAAGGTCAACACAACTTGCAACCATTAAGCTAATACCTAATCAGGAGACAGTTCTTTGATTAGATGAAGACCTAGGCTGAGCAGAACCTTTCAACTCCCTTTCACAAATTGTATTCCTAATCTGTTCCAGCTTACAGACATACTCCTGGCCCCACTAACAAGGTGCAACTCGGATGCTCACCATCAACTATACACACATTTGTGTCTGTCTCCTTCAGAATGAGATCACCACCTCCAGCAGCCTGCTCAGCACCCCCAGGCAGGAGGGCCACACCACCTCCCTTTATCTCCACGTCTGACCTTACACTCCACATGCCCTTCTGAACTCTGAGCAGGGTGAATTTTCAGAGCACTCGTCCTGGGAGGTCTGGTGTGTCTATAAGCCACAAGGGCCACTGATCGCCTGCCATTAAAATCAGGGAGCAGCAATCAAAATAGCAGCCAATGCTTGTGCTAAAGCAAACACTGTCTCAGATCACTACACTGTGAGAGTCTCAAAAGCGGAGACCATGTCTCAGTCATTTCTGTTTCCTAACTCTTGGTACAAAATAGGTATGGAAATTTTTCCAATGATCTTCTGACTGCAAAAACAATGAGCTCACTGCATGAATAAACACACTCACATCATCTCTACCCAGAGCCAAATGAAAGACAGAGAAGCAGGATAGGAAGCAGAGACCCAAACGAAGTCAGATTTCTGTGCTCTGATAGTCTTGATGGCTGAGAGGAACTGAGGTTTCTCACCTGTGCTTGTTTCTGCATTTCTCCTTTAAGATCATCAAAATATGTGCTTTCTCCTTCATCATATTCTGCATCAAACATCTCCTGCAATTTTCTCTTCTTATCCAGATGCTTTTTCTTGGCACTTTCCTCTTCATTGGGGTCAATTTCTTCCTTAACTTCTTTCTCTACATCTTCATTATTAAATTCCCAGAAGAAAAAATTTTGTATACATTTATGAAGGTCTTTTCTTTAAACATTAGATTTTTAAAAGTTTTATTTGAACAAAAATTTTAGCAAAAAATCTGTTATCATTATCAACAAAACAAAACCAAACACAACCTTTGTCTCTGAATAACATGGCACTGCTACAGGAAATGGTTACATCTGCATTACAATTAGCTTCCATTCCTTAAGCTGGCTGGGAACACAAGCTGGAATAAAAATAACAGACATGTCCCTCATCCAGATGCCCCCAGAACCTGTTTGAAAGGAATATTAGGGAGAACAGGAACTTTGTCCTTTTAAATTTAAATTTAAAGAAGAGGACAATTAAATTTAAGAAGAGGACAGTGATGGCAATGGTGAAATGTAACCCCAAGGAGCTAAGACTTCCATGAATGAAAAATCACAGCGGACTTGGCAAATAACTGGCAAGAAGCAGTAGTACGTGTCATCCAAAACTTAACAAGTAAACAAGAAAGCTTCTCTCTGGTCCCCACATCCTGACCTTTTAGGAAGGAATCCATTCATCCAGTCTGCAATCGTCACACATCACAAGTCAGATTTGCATTTCTCAGTGTGGGCCTCTCTCAGAACACAATGACCAAGAACAGCCAGCTATAGCAAAGTCATACCTGAGTAATAGGGCCTGATTTACCCTTGTGCACATCCCCTGTTTCCAAGTCTTCAAAGTCACCCAAAGGCTGCTCTGTGAGCCAGGCATGCATGTGCCACTGGTCCCACTCGCCACAGGCCCACAGTGTGCTCCATGTTCCAAGCCTTATTCTCACTGTTCCCATCATTACAGACACAGGCAGAACTTTGCACTTGGGAATGCTTCATAAAACAGTATTTCATCATCTGTTTAGGTAAACTAAATGGACCTGAGCCGCATTTCCACACTACATGTCAAAATGCCAACCTCAGTTTTTCCAGTATAGATAATGGACACTCTGTTTTTGTTGTTTTTGTTTTGATGTGGAGTCTTGATCTGTCACCCAGAATGGAGTGCAGTGGCACAATCTCAGCTCATTGCAATCTCCACCTCTCAGGTTCAAGCAGTTCTCATGCCTCAGCCTCCAAGTAGCTGGGATTACAGGTGCCCACCACTGGGACTGGCTAATTTTTGTATTTTTAGTAAAGATAGGATTTCACCATATTGGCCAGGCTGGTCTCGAACTCCTGACCTCATAAACCACCCGCCTTGGCCTCCCAAAGTGCCAGGATTACAGGTGTGAGTGACTGGGCCCGGCCAATGGATGCTCTTGATAAGAGACACAGGTCTGTGTCCCCCCAAACAAATAGTTCAAAGAGTGAATAGAAAAGCCCATGCTGATACCAGCATATGTGAACAAGAGTCTCAGTGTAAGTTCAACATGACACAATTGTGTAACACACCTAGGGGAAATCTTAGATTACATAAAATATAGCATTTAGATCAAGAATACAGCCCCAAACCACACCAAATCCATGGGAAGAGATCATTCACTCATTCATTTATTCATTTGTTTTTGGAGCTCTGAGCTCAATTATAGTCCCACTCTTAAAAGAAATTGACAAGCAAGGCTAGGTGCAGTGGCTCATGCCTATAAACTCAGCACTTTGGGAGCCTGGGAGGCGGAGTTTGCAGTGAGCCATAATTCTGTTACTGAACTTCAACCTGGGTGACAGAGTGTGACCCTGTCTCAAAAAAAGAAAAGAAATAAAAGAAATACACAAGTTAAAACTCATTTGGGAGGCAACATTTTAAAAGCTACTAAAACATTTTCACATAAAAGCAAAAGAACCAGGTAGAAGATATAACAGATAGGAAGTTCCTATTTGTAACAAAAGCAAAAGAGGATAAACCTAACAAGAAATATGCCAGAACTTTAGTTTTTTAAAAAAGAAGAAAAGCTTTAATAAGCTACCAAAGGACAAAAGGAATAGCATCACCGCCAACACTCGTTAAGTGCTCTCTACACCAGGTACTGTGTTAAGTACTTTCCTTGCCTTAACCACACTCTTCAACCCAAGGAAGTAGGTGTTGTAAATATTACCTACGGAATAATGATATGCCCTTATTTGAAAAGAAAGACACGATATCACCAATATGCCAATTCTTCCTTTAGCACAGTTACAACCCAGAACCACCATTAAGGACTTCTGGTATAGAGAAGACAATGCATTATTCCCTCCTGACTAAGAAGGGTCACCTCAACTCTAGAAACAGTAGACAAGAGATGATCAATGGAGAATTCTGAAAGGTGGACAGAAAAAGGCTGCTGAGGGACTCTAGTGTTGGGGAATGCATAGTGGCCAGCTGTCTCCCTGGACCCCATCCAACAAGAGGGTGACCTAGGCCCATTGTTTCCCAACTCCCAACCTAGTAACAGAAGGCAACGCAGGCAGGCTCAATCCCCTCAGGACAAAGGCAATCTTTCCCACAAGAAAACCAGCTCCACACACCAAGACAACCACCATCCCCCACCCACCTAGCTGCAGCATTTGGCCCAGCCTGGGGCAGCTCCCCTGTTCCCTCAGGTGGGTACCAGCAGGGACCAGTGGGAGAGGCACCAGATAAGCCAAACACACCAAAATAGCACCATGAAGGCTCTGAAATTAAATTGTCATTAGATTCACAGCCTAGTAAGTATACCAGGACCTACATACTAAACCTAAAAGAACTGCCTGCAAAAATAAAAAAAATTACATAGGCCTTCCAGCAGAATAACCAAAATGTATAGGAATCAAGAGAATATCACCTGTTGTACCACTGAGAAAATAATAATTTTAATGTGAAAGGACAACTGAAGACACCAACACTGAAATGAGTCAGAAGCTGGAACCATTTGACTCTTTGCTTTTAACAGCCAGTATAAAAATGCTTCAACAAGTAACGAGAAATCCCATGGCAACAAACAAAAAAAGTGAAAACTTCAGCAAAGAGAATGAAGAAGAATCAAATGAAAATTAGAAATATAAAATACAGTAACATAAAATATAAAATAAATCTCTCAGGATGCGCTCTGTTGAGTAAAAGTGGAGATGACACAGGAGAGAATCAGAGAACATAAAGCCTGATCAGCAGAATTCACACAGTCTAAACAATAGAAAGAAAATAACCTGAAAACAAGTGAACAAAAGTTGCACGGACCCGTGGGACGATAACAAAAGACCCCGCATTTATGTTATCTGAGTCTCACAGGAGACCAGAGCTGCGAGAGCACATAAAGAACTAATGCCTGATGCTTCCCACATTTGGTAAAAGATAGACTTACAGATTCAAGAAGCTGAGCAAATCTCAAAGTATACAAAAGAAAGCAACACCAATTAAACTTTCAAAACTAAAAACAAAGACCAAAAATGGCAGAATGCCTGTAGGGACATGCCAACTCAAATGTCAGTGTATTTCTCCTCTAATGGAGTAAAGAGGGAAATGCCATATTTTCAACTACACAAAAAAAAAAAAAAAAAAAAAAAACTGTCAGCTACAAATTCTATATCCTGTGAAACTACCCTTCAGAAATGAAGTAAAGACATTCTCAGAGGAAGAGAATATAGAAATTCATCACTAGTAAATTCAGAAGTGCTAAATATTGCTGTTACTTCTATAATAGAAAAAATTGAAACAAAAAAATAAAAAAATGGCTACTGAAAGTTCTTATGCAGAAGGGATGAATATGGTACTATGGGAGGGGGGACAAAAGAAAGACCAGAAATGTGGACACATACACTAGACAATCTGGAGTTCTTAAAATCACATTTGATGGCTGAAACAAAAACTATACCACCACTTAATATTCAAGCCAGCGATTTATAAAAGCAGAAAAGGTAACGAGACCTAAATGGAAGATGGGTTTCCAGACTGAAGAGGTAAATACTGGTACCAGTAGACTGCTATCTTACAATACTCATATTGTAACATCCAGAGCAAACACTTTAAGACTATACAAAGAGATACACACAACATTATACAGAAATAAATCAAGATGGAAGGAAAGAAAAAGGAAACAAAGCAAATAATTAAAACATCAGACTTAAGCAATTATGCAACAATAAGCACCTTAAATATAAATGGTCTCAATAAACCAAAAGACAGACTGATGGGGAGCACAGCTATAATAAACACATGGCCCAACTAGATCCTGTTCATAAGAAACTTCAAACTCACTTAACGACATAAGTAGGCTGAAAGTAAAAGAATGGAGAAAGATATCCCATGCAATCATTAATTTTTAAGGAAGCAGGAGTGAATATATTAATATCTCATGAAGTAGACTTCAGAGAAAAATAATTTACCAAAGCTGGAGAGGGTCTTTGCTGAATTTTAAGATCTAAAATTTTCTATGCTGCCTTGACATCTTTGAGCCTGACAGAGTCCCAAAGGCCTAGCCATGGGTTTTTCTGTTTCTACTAGACAGCCCCTACCCCACCGCCACCCAGCAGGAAGGCGCCCCACCAGGCTATCAGCCAGAGCAGCTGCACCTCAGCCTAACAAGTGTCACTTCACCAGTTTGCCAGCCCATGAATTTATTCAAACAAGCCAATCGCAAACCCCTTGGGAACCAGTGGTCATTGTGTGCTCCTGTTACTATCAAGCCTGCCTGCCTCCCCCAACCCCAGCCCTCACTCAGCTACTGAGTACAGTGCCCATCTGACCCTGGGTGGCATGCAGTGTCCTCCTCTAAGCTGTGGGTATATGTGACTAAAACACTGCTGTCAATCTCATCCATTCACACCAGGTGTCGTGTTCAGCCATCTCCTATACTTTAGGGCAGTAACCCCTCCTTCACCAATGGGGAGAAAAGGAAGTGACCATAACAACTGCATAGTGACAATAGGATTAACACACCAACATCCTCCTCTCAGCAACTGTTAACACTAGGCAGAGGCTGGATGCAGTGGCTCAAACCTGTAATCCTAGCACTCTGGGAGGCCAAGACAGAATGATCGCCTAAGGCCAGGAGTTCGAGCCTGGGCAACACAGCAAGGACTCATCTCTCAAAAAAATTTTAAATTTAGCCAGGTGTGGCAGCACACACCTATAGTCCCAGCTACTTGGGAGGTTAAGGCAGGGAAACTGCTTAAACCTAGGAGGTCAAGGCTGCAGTGAGCCATGTTTGGGCCACTGCACACTCTAGCCTAAGTGATAGAGTGAAACTAGGTAGAAAAAAAGCAAGGATTTACAAAAGATCTGAACAGTCAACCAGCAAAATCTGACATCTGTACAACACCCGCCTCCCCAATAGGAAAATACACACATTTTTAAAGCCAACAGAACATCTACCAAGACAAAGTACATTCAGGGCAATAAAAGAAATCACAGCAAATCTAAAATCATTCAAGTCATAAGAATATGTTCTCAGAACATAATGTAGTCAAGCTAGAAATCTATAATAGGAAAAGAGAAAACTTTCTAAGTACTCAATATTAAAACTACATACTTATAAATAATGCATGGGCCAAAAAGAAGTCCCAAAGGAAATATGAATGAAAATACAACATATGAACATTTGTGGAGTGCAGCTCAACAGTGCTGGGAAGGAAATTTAAGCACTAAATACTCACATTAGAAATGAGAAAAGATAGGCCAGGGGCGGTGGCTCACAGCTGTAACCCCAGCACTTTGGGAGACCGAAACGGGTGGATCATGAGGTCAAGAGATCAAGTCCATCCTGGCCAACATGGTAAACCCCATCGCTACTAAAAGTACAAAAATTAACTGGGCGTGGTGGTGTGCACATGTAGTCCCAGCTACTTGGGAGGCTGAGCAGGAGAAACGCTTAAACCTGGGAGATGGAGATTACACCACTGCACTCTAGCCTGGCAAGAGTGAGACTCTATCTCAAAAAAAGAAAAAAGAAAAAAAAAAGAAATTTCAAAAAGATAAACCAATAATCTAACAAATTTGAAAAAGAACAAACTATGCCCCAAACAAGCAGAAGAACAGAAATAATAAAGGGCAGAAGTCAATAAAATTGAAAACAGAAAAACAGAGAAAATCAATGAAACAAAAAGCTGCTAATCTGAACAGAATCGACAAAACTAATTAATTTTAAGACATAGATAAAAAGAGAGAGGACACAAACCAGCATCATGAATAAAACGGGTTCTCAAAAAGGCTCCTGCAGCCATTAAAGAGTACTAAGCAAATACAATAAACATCACCCTCAGAATACCCAAGCTGGTCTCTTGCAGAAGACAATCAGGGCAATTTCCACTTCCCTAACAGGTCTTGAAATACCTTGAAAATCGTTAAGTTACCAAAATTCAGGCAAGATGAAACAGATAACCTGAATCATCCTATAACCATTAAAGAAGTAAAATTTTTAATTAAAAGCTTCTGAACACAAACTCTCCAAGCTCAGATGACTTCACTGGAGAATTACACCAAATATTTAAAGAATTCATTCCAATTCTATGCAAACTCTTGCAGAAAACAGAATGGGGAACACTTTGCAACTCATTTTGAGGCTGCTATTATCCTGATGCCAAAATTAGATGAAGATGGTACCGGCACAAAAAGGAAACAGAAACCAAAACCAAAACAAAACAAAACCAAAAACAACCACACAGATCAATATCTCTCATGAATGCAAAAAGTCCTAGTCAAAATTTATCAAATGGAATCCAACAACGCATTGTTGCTATTCACTAGGGGTGGTTGGCAAAATATTACAGAAAATATTTAGGGAAAGCTATAGATTATAGTCTCAAACCTTTGAAAGACCAAAAGGTTTTATTAAGGCAGGTTGAAGGCAGCCACCTAGTTAATATTAGCATAGGAAAGAGGTAGAGACTGATCAAAGGCCTTACTCCACACCCATTTATTCCCACTCTGTTTACTCAAGTTAATTTTGTGCTGGGTGGCCCTCTCCAGGGAAGATCAAATGGGAATGACCTGTTACTAGTATTTACTCTGGGCCAGAACCTAATGCTTTTACCAGTCATAAAATCATTTTCTTAACCATGTTAATTATCCACAAGTGTGTTAACTTAGAACCTCTGTTGTAAAATCTTGAGGGAATAAATGTGTGGATGAACAGGGAATCTTGGTCAATTGGTTGCCTTCTGCCATCTAAAAGCAGCCAAGGGTTATTCCTAGCCCACTTAAAACGCTACAATGATGTAAAACTGCATTCATTCATTCATCCTTAAGTCAGGGTCTGCAGAGCAGACTTCCACAGGTAGTGACCAACATCTTAACACCTAAAAAATTTGTACATAAATTTTCACCTGGCGATCCTTTCGTAGTTCCTATGTGTGATGTCTGGATGTTGATGCGTATGTGTGGGATATGCCACCCTTGAGCCTTGTTATGACGTTAGCACGTTAACCATCTGACATGAAAAGAAAAAAACCATTTTGTATTTCATTTTCATTCAGGACCAACCAAGCGAGAGTTATTCCAGGTATGCAAGTCTGGTTCAACATTCAAAAAAATGAATAAGGCCAGGTGCAGTGGCTCCTGCTTATAAACCTAACACTAACAGGCCAAAGTGGTAGGATTGTTGAAACCAGGAGTTCAAGATCAGTCTGGGCAACACAGTAAGACCTGGTTCTACAAAACAAAACAAAACAAATTAGCCACACACTTGTAATCCCAGCTACTCGGGAGGCTGAGGCAGGAGGACCACTGGAGCATAGGAGGCCAAGGCTGCAGTGAGCCATGATAGCACCACTGCACTCCAGTCTGGGTGACAAAAGAAGACCGTGTCTCAAAAAATAAAAATAAAAGGATCAACAAAATCTATATTAAAAGAATACAGAGTGAAACGCATATCCAGATGATCATATTAACTGACACTGAAAGGCATTAGACAAAATTCAACACCCAATCATGATAATAAATAAATACCAGTGAAAAGATTGGGAACAACATAGGAAGTCCACTCTTGGCACTCTTACTCCACATTGTAATTAAAGTCCAGTCACTGAATTAAGGTAGAAAATTTTAAAACAGAAGGAAGGCCAGGTGTGGTTGCTTATGGCTGTAATCCCAGCACTCTGGGAGGCTGAGGCAGGCAGATCACTGGAGCTCAGGAGTTTGAGACCAGCCTGAGCAACATAGCAAGACCCCATCTCTACCCCCTCCAAAATAGAGTAATTAACAAAAGAAAAGGAAAAGCCATACAGGTTGAAAAGAAGGAACACTGTCCCTATGTTTTGTACACAACTGTCTGTGCAGACAATCCCAGGCAATCTACAAAAACAAAACCAAACAAAACAAAATAAATCCCTTCTACAACTAGTAAGTGAGTTTAGCAGGATAAAAGATGAACAATGATCAATCAAAATAAAATATTTAGGTCGAAACTTATCAAAACATATTCTCAACAGTATGCTGCAAAACATAATACTGATAAAGAAATAAAAAC